TGCTAATTATTCTCTAATTAAAAAAAATGTTTTTTTCCTGTCCCCTCTCTACCATATCTGAAAATCAGCCTGCAGTTAGCAGAACAAAAGATTATGGCCTGTAAATAATTCACATTTTGCACCTGGTTGAAACTTCATGAGAAATGTTGTCAGAATCGGTATGGAGAGACCTGCAAACATCTTGGCTGTTGGGGGGATTGGAGAATGGAGGAATGGACTGGGGAGGAGAGTTTGGGGACTGTCAGTTTATATTTGCCTGAAATGCTTGCTTACAACAAAAGAGCATCCAGCATTGTACAAAGTCATCAGTTTGGAGCATGACTCAGTGTGGAAAAATGCTACCTACTGAATTTCTAGCATAGTTTCTTGAATTGCCCTTTTAATCAACTTTTTAGAGGCCGCCTTTTAAAGCATCATCTGAAGCCAACAAAGAGCAGCGAGATGCTCAAGTCTTCACAGGGCAGCTGAATACAGTGTCACTGCATAGGAACAAGAGGATGGAAAAATGAATCTTTAATTTTTGATGCTGTTGGTGCTTATGTGGATGTTTTTGCAGCCTTGCAAATAGGATGCATAGACACGAAGGAAAGAATTAAAACTGGGGGTTGACATTTGGACATATGAAAATGTATGGCTGAACCAGGAGGACTGAAGAAGGTGGATAATATTGTTCCTTTCTGTTTTGCAAGTTTTAAAACAGTACTAAATAAAGCAAGTGGGTTATTTTCCCTTACTGCACAGTTAGGATTTAGCAGCTCAGAGCTTTCAGTCACTACTTGAACAGTCTACCTTCTGTTTTGAAACAGAGCAACTTCTGTTCATTAGAAACAGTCAACAATAAATATGAAGAAATTTTCCGTAGTTTGCTTTGGAACTTGGTGGATCGGGTGTTATGGATACAACGCTTTTTTTTTTTTTCTAACAAGGAGTGGCAGAAAAGTCATACAGTGGTTTTTGTTCCAAGAATGTTGCATTGAAAATTAACAGAGTGAAGGCACTATTCAGAGCAGAGTATTGAAACACTGTTTTTATCTGTCTTGTCCCATTGTGAAATGTCTGTTATTTTAGTAGCGTTAGCTAAGCAGTCATTTCAGTAATGATTAATGACAACTTGTAATTTTCTTTTAACTGACTGATCATCCTTTTGTTTTGTTGTATTATTTAACTGTAATTACTTGGGAAGTGGCTTGTAGCTTTAGCTGTAACAAGTATGTCAGTAACTTTGTGCTTTTTTTCAGTTAAATGAACTTGGTGAAATGTAACTCTTGACCCTGTGGTTCATGAGTGTAAAGCAACCAACTGCCCTAGACTTGCGTACATGTAACTGGAAGGTGAATTCTCTGTATGGAGGTGAAAGAAATGAAAACAATTTTCAGAGCTGCAGTAGTCTTGACATGAATGTGTAGTGATCTATGGACTACAGCTCCAAGGGCTGGGAAAGTAAGTGTGTATGTGTGGGTAGGTGGGTGTGTGGGTGTTTGTGAAAAAGAAGGGGAGATCTGGGTAAAGGAGACAATAACTAAGAGCTGTCCTTTGCAGATATACGAAACCCTTCTAACTTTTTTAAAATGCTAGAGTGCCTCTTTAAAAACTGGGCTATTTTGAATAAGTAGTGGACTACTTCTAGAATTCTAGTATTCTTCTAGAATAGACATACGTTTAACTGTTAAGAGGAAGAAATTAGATGAAGTCTAGTGTTGGCATGACAGATGTTTTTTTGGTTATCTGGGTGATCTTGCATTACATCAGTTTGTTTTCTCTCATATTCAAAAATATTATTTTCCTGTAGTGAATAAACATTTTGTTTGCTTATTAATGAATATACATGTGGCACTTATTCTTGATTTCCTTAAAGGTGTTGGTAACTTGGAATGTGAGAAAGTTCCTGAATGTATGTACTTAAAATATGTCACTGAATTGCATGAAATTCTTTTCTTTTGAAGTTATTCCTTTGAGTTTACAGGTACACCAGATTTTTTTTTGTGGGGGTGTGCAGAAATAGTGTCATTGCTCTGCAAGTAGGAGTGTTCAGCTTTTGAACCAGAAAGCCACTGTCAATTCTGTGCCTTTAATTGAAAATACTGTGTGGGCATTATTCATTCATTCGTTGGTGTACTGTGATGCTGTGGGCAGTGTTTTTGAAACCAGCTGACTCACAAAACTGTATTTTTAGTAAAGTCTGACTCTGGTAGTTATACAGTAGTTACAAGTATGCCTTGTACAAGTTGACACCATCCACGTTTGAGTGGTGTACTTTTTACTGGTGTGGTGTATTTAGGTGTGTTAGGCTGATTAGGCCCTGGCTTACAAGGGGTACCTGAATAACACCCAAATCCCTGCACTCTGAGTTTGTTTGCAGGTTTTCAGAATGTGGTGTGGGTGGTTTGTGTGTGGTTTTTTTTTTTGTTTGCTCCCATTTTTCCCCTTACACACAAATAAATGTTGTTCCGTAGCTTGGTAAAGCAGCAGTGTCTATAGAATTTTGAGAGGTTGGATAGCCAATATTCATCACATTACTTTTGACAGCACTGTTTTATCTCAGCTGAATTCTTGCACTCTAAAATTTCTGGAAACAAAATGTCTCTAAAATACCGGCAGCACTTGTTATCATGACTCATTGCTAGGTTGCTAGGCTGTGTACTCTTCAACAAGCTTTCCTTAAACTCTCTTTTGATTAATTTTTTTTCATCCTAAGTTGCATATAATGACATTTGTTTAGCAGATTTAATCTCTGTTAAGCATTCAGTCATATAGCAGAAAGATGCTGCAGAAAGTGCATTCCTCTTCCTGATACTGCCCTAATTACATAAAGACTACCAGCGTGACTCAGCCACTCCTTACAGCTATGCGCTCCAGAGCAGGAATTATGCGAGCTGCTAACTTACATCGTAAAGCTACATTTTTGGAGGAAGAAACCCCATAACTTGCAAAAGAATTCTAGGATACCATGCTCTTCCTTTGGTATATAGAATTGCTTTCTTCATGAGTGCTTATCCACAGAAAGATACACTTGATTGCCTAATTGACCTCTTTGTATCTCAGTGCAGTACATGTAGACATGGGTCTGGGGACACATCAAAAGACCTTTCTTCTTTGGAATTTGTGACTTATAAGTTCTTTAAACAGCGTGACTGTGAGGTGCTGTTGTCATACATTTTTCATGATAGTAATCTTTACTAGTCTTTGGTATTGTCGGTGCTAGTGATTGATGTGAAGTAACACCAACAAAATGAAGATGGTGTTTCATACTCCTATGCACAAGCTTATCAGTCATAAAAGCTAAAACATCTTCCAATAAAAACCTGAAACTTGCAAGAAGCAAGTGCACTCATGTGAGAGACGCAGATTTAACATGCAGTTTAAGGCAGTCCTTCTGTCCTTGATTTGTTTTTTGGATATTGGGCTTGATATGTAAATATATCTGGAGCACAGCCATCAAATTACAGGCTTCTAGCTGCTTGAACCTTCTGGGAAACTACAGTTTTGGTGACATGGAGCGGTCATCCAAACCCAGAGCCACAGATGGCTGTGCTTTGCTTGTGGTAAATTTGTGTGTTACATATTTTCCTCATTCCTGCCTTTTCTGTGTTGGCTCTGAAGGCGTTTCTTTGATTTCTGATAAGCCTTTTGGAGATGTTAGGTTTCCCAGACCTCTTGGGGAAGAGACCTGCCCTTCGTGCCTGAACAAGGTATTTGGGATGTCTCTGATGGTGTACTAACTTTGGGGTGATGTCCAGAAGGGCGGTGTAAGCAGACTAATAGGGTGAAAGTGTAGGTGGGATTTTCTGAAAGTCTAGAAGCTACCTCTCAAACTGAAATGAGGTAGCACCCTCTGGAGTTCCTTTTTGCTCCTTTTTTAAAAGGTGAAAAGGTTCACACGAATTGTATTTTCAGGGTTAATCCTTACAGGAGGAGTAGCCTGTGGGTGACTTGAATATTTTAGGGTATGTCCACATATTTGTTACAATGTGGTGTGCAAGCCTTGAGCTAATGCCAGCCATGCTAGTAGTACGGTGAAGCACTGTGTTCTGCTGTGCTGTAACAGCGGAGATACTCATGCTTCTTACTCTCTAAAATTGCTTGTTCGTGCTCCCTGATGAGGAGGGACAGCCTCTCCAGGCTGGTTAGCTACATGGAGCTCAGGTGTCTGTAGTCCCTTTCAGCACTGGAGAGTGTTCGACCCATGATTGCTGGGACCACGGTCGCTATTCTGCCACTTCATTGCATGATACAGGTGTGCCTGCATTCCTCTATGGTATAAAATTAATTTTGAACTTTAGTTTTAGGATTTTCTCTAAGATATTTTATAATTATTTCTCTTGTAGCTTTCTGAGATTGATGAGACAGATATAACACTAAATTTTCAATAAAAACCAAGGCAAGTAGCACAGTAGAACAATGCAAACAAAAATCTGCTTGCACTAGAAATGTCATTTCCAATATCAGTTTAGTTCTAATCAAATTGCGCTTGGATTTGGAGGCATGCCAGTTCTGTGCTTGGCAGACACGTGGAAGCTTATGGTAGTGCTGCTTTTCCATTGCAGCTGACCTTGTCGTGAACTAGAAATAATCAGGGCCTGTACAAATCCTGCAGAACAGTTCCTTCTTCTTCCTCTCAAAAGTCAAATTGTTCTCGCAAGCTGCTGGATCTCTTTGCTCACTAGAGAGTAAATCAGTCCAGGAGAAATCACGAGAAGGAGGTTTGGATGAAAGCATTCATTCACGTTTTAAGGAAAGACGTTGGAGGTCTGCTAGATCTACCGGAGGGTGTTTTTGCCTGTGTGTGGGAGGTGGGGATGGGGAAGGGAGCATGCGGGGCAGCAGGAGGTCTGTGTGAGGGCAGGTTCGGGCCTTTCACCTCCCCTGTGTTCTCTTGGCAAAAGCACAGGACTGTGTCTGTCAGTGTGAGGATGCCATCTGCACTGCACAGCCTGCTAGGCTGTTACACAATTGCGCAAGAATTAATCCAAAATCATACTGCTAAACTGTTTTCTGGCTAGCTGTAGTGGCCGCCCAGGGATGCAGCTATTGTACGGTGCGTCAGGAACCAAGCGAAAGCAGCAGCCTGCGGAACCGCCTCAGCCTGGCACTGCGAACGTAATCCCCAGTATGAACAGTTAATGGGTAGATGGGCTGAGCAGACGCAAGCTGCTGAAAAGGGTAATTGTTTTATTAAATTAACTCTGGGTTTAAAAATGAAAAAAAGTAGCCGAGGAGGTAGAGTGTAGAGGGGGAGAACTGGGCAAATCTAGTTACAACAACGGTATATTTCCTCAACTTAATTTAATTTCAGTTTTCCATTTGCTGCCTTTGCATTGCGTGCAAATTGGAAGTGACAGTCTGCAGCACTGAAACAAAATATTCTGCCTGTGTATTTTTGAGTAGGAATTTTTTAAATTTGCAGTAAAATAAGTTAGCTATTGAAAATGTACTATCTGAGAGCCCATTTGATATTTTAATGCCAATCTTGCTGGATGTTTTAAGCTGAGGGCTTAATGGTCATGCTTAATGGCTATACATAGATTGAAGGGATTCTAATACCTTTCTATCAGTGTCTTAATGGGACTTTGGAGTAAAGTCTGGACCACGTAGATCCTGCTTTAGCTTCTACTGCAGTCCTTAGTACATTTTTATGTCCAAGAGGTATCCGGGAAGTTTTATTCTCTGATGTTGCCAAACTTGCATCCAGATACCTACATGACATGCCTGAAAGTTTCCTGGCATCTAAAGGCAAGCATTGGTACTCATGCAAAACATCTGCCTTGCTTGTGCTTGCTCAGGGAGCTGGTGTAAGTTTCGGCCAAGTAACCCCCGGGCTCTGCGCAGCTCCTGTGGGCTCTGGGCATGCACAATGCCTGCTGGCAGCACTGAGCTCGGTCTAGACCATGGCAGCCATGGCAACTTCAGAGAAACACTGACGGGAGTGATGCCCAAACCTTGCGTACGAGCAGCTGAGTCGCAGTGGCAGCACGCTGGTGCTCGTTGCCCTGGCTGGGTGATGGGCCTGTGCCCGTGCTGCTCGCCAGCGCAGCAGGTTCACATGGTGGGAGCTCAGTGTGCTGCGTGGCCAAGTGCCACAGCTTAGCTGCTGAGCAGTGTCTCGTGTGATTGCAGTAGCTTGCGTATCTGTAATTGCATGTCAATTTTTGCATCTTAATACCAGTATGTATGATGCAAGTGGCTGGTACTGTTAACATGAAATTGTACCGTGAACTGATACCACTGAATCTTAATGTGCATCCAGAAACTGAGTTAGTCTTTCTGCAGAAGTGGCACCATTACAAAGGTATCTTGAATTTGTCGCGCCTTGTTTGCTTTTGTTTATAAAGGTGGCTTTTATCCCTACATTCATTCCATTGTTAAAGTACTTTGTGAAGGCTTGGTTTTTTTCTGCCATTAAGGCAGTTTAAACAAATGGATTCCGCCCTGAAGGCTGTCAAGGGCTACTGATAGTACAGTATATTTATGACTTGATCAGAAACAACTACCTAGCTGGCACTTGGAACAAAAAGCAGAAGACAAATGAGCTGGACTTTACCTGTAGTTTACCGTAACAGTGTAAGGGGCTATTTTGATGCTAACCTTGGGAAAGTGTGCCGTGTGGTATTTTCTGTAGGCACTGGGTTTGAATTTAATTTGTATTTTGTGTCATTCTGAAGTAGAATTAAAAAAAAAAAACAACAACATTGAGATATTTCTTCAAAAGGAGTTGGGCTGGAAGGTGAGGTATTGACTAGTAGTACTTGCCTTTTATGAACTATAGGTATGTGTGTCTGTTTCTGGAGGGGAAAAAGCATGGTAAAAGCATACTAGAACGGTTCTCAGATTTTCCATACTTGTTTCACTGTCCATCAAAAACCTCTTTGGAAATGTTGAGAAGGACATTAGAGAACTACATCTGTACTAAAGGTACTGAACGGTGACTCACCAAATATGAGCATATTTTTTTTACTCGCCGGTGTTGTTTAGCACCACAGACTGTTGCCCTGGGCAGCAGAGTTGCAGGGGCCTTTGTGCCGAGATGTGCAGGCAACAGAGCAGAAACTCTTAGTGGGTGATGGCAGCTGGAAGTTTTATTCCTGCGTCCTTATTACTGTGGTAACAAGAGGTAGACCTGGCATTGTCACATGCCAGCCTTTTTCATGTCCTTTAACCTCTTTGAGAGGTAAAGAATTTATATACCAATCGGCTAGGTCTGAATGCATTCAGATGCTGTAGCTGTGGTCTCATTTGGAGGTGCTGATAATCATAGAAGCAAACAAGCTTCCAATGTGTGCTAGCAAAAACTGAAAAGTTTATGCAAGCAGAAGTATTAGGTGTCTTTGGGATGAAATCTGTTTAGCTTTCTTTACTCCCTACATGTAGTAAAGCAGTATGTTTAATAGGAGCAATTTGAGCATAAATGGAATAGAAAGGAGAGGGAATTGTGATTCCAAAGTAAGGGCAAGAAGCTGTTTTGTTTTGTTTTTTTCTTGTTTTTGAGAGCTTTCACTTGTTTGTTTCCAAGTTTGTTGCCTGCTATATTTCATTAAATGTTTCATTAGGTGCTCTTGAATTAAATATTTCATATACCTACATGTGGAACTTAATTGTGCAAAATTTAATAGGTTTAGGGTAGTGAGAGGGGAATATTGGAGAGTCTTAGGTTTACAGGTTAACCTGTTCCCTGATCAGCACTGCACGTGGTTTGAGTGATATTTGAAGTTATGCTTTTTTGAATAAGGTGAACATGGACCTTTTCCCCACAGCAAAGTTTAAGGAAGAAGAACTTTACTTGGTACTTCATCATCATCTTTTTTTCTTTGCAACATACAGCTTTTGGCTAGTTAATGCTATCTGAAAGGTTAATGTGCAATTTTTTTTTCTCTTTATTTCTGTGGAACAAGAATAATTTGGTGCTTTGCTCTTTATAGGTCACTCTTAGAAGTTCTGTTTGCTTATAGCTGTTCTCTCCAGGTGCTGGGAAGGTATATGGTAATTGTTATGATAATTACCCGTTGTCAGAGTAATGTTTGCAGTACTTCACATGGAGATGCAAAACGAAAAATTCACTGGTCTCATTTTGTTTAGTACGTGAAATGAGATTAAGGGATGGCTTGATCATAGATGTGTGGAGATTCCTGGGGAAAAAGTAGGTAATAGGGAAGTTCTTAAATGAACAGACTGAGAGAAAAATTTGTTCGGTAGCTGAAAGGGGATGTGTGTGTGTGTATGTATGTCTATCTGTCTATATCCTTTTATGGCCGTATATATAAATAATATATATTTAAATCACTGGGACGATTTTTCCATCCCTAGAAATAGGCTAAGATAGGATGTTTTTTCAAAGAGATATTGTGATATTACCTAGTTCAAACAGGAATCAATTCTGGGAACTCTGATGTCTTGCATAATGCAGGGTATTGACCTAATGATTGCTGTAGTCCCTGAACTGTATTATCTGAGTATGTTCCAGCAGACGGTATTTTTAGCAGAGACATTGAGCACCTATTCTACTGAGAGATTAGTTCCAGTACAATACAGAGCATTACTGTGCCACCACTGGCTATTTTAGCCCTCCCTGAGTAGACAGCTTGTCCCAGAGTGCTGAGGCAGAATAGATTTAGGGGATTAAGTTTCATATGTGTGGCCTGGACGCTCTGCAAGGTACATGTAAACAAGAATTGGTGTGTTCATGCTTTGGAGAGGAGGACAGGGAAGGATGCAAGGCAAAACATTGTTTGAGAAGTTGCCACATCTAAAGAGGTGTGATTGTACACAATCAGGCATTTTCTACCTATTTCCAGTTAAGACAGTAGCCTGAAAGACAGGTGAGATGGGACCCTGTAGAAGGCAAAATGGGTGAAGTTAAATTGGTCCTGGAGAAAAAGCCTAGTGGCAGACTGCCAGGTTGGGAACTGGGCAAGGAGAGATGACCAGAATGAACTCTTTCACATTTTAAAGCATGGGCACTACCTGCTTTGCTAGCAGAAGTGACCGCATGAAGACATGAGAGTGGAAAAGGTTTGGCTGTAAGCAGACGGAAAAAATCACTTTCCCGTTTATGTGTGGGACGGGGGAGGAGGAGGAAATGTGCTGGAGCATAATCTGGCTTGCATGAGGATTGTTTCTTGCTGGACCATGCATTCAGTGCAAATGGTAAAACATTTTGAGAGCCATGAGGTTCAAGTAATCCTCTCACACTGGTCACAAGTGGCCAGAGATCAGGTTGAAGGTGAGGCATTTGTTGCTTGCTCATTGAGGTCATCATGTTAGTTTGGTGCTAAACTTGAGAGCTATATAGATTTCAGAGCATGAATTATCCCTTGAGCAGACCTCAGGTTGGGTGACAGAGATCTCTTGTCTGCACATCCTTTTTGGGGAAGGTGTCTTTCAAACCTCACACAGCCATGGCCACTCTCTGGTTGCTGACTCCCAGCTCTGTGGCAGTGATACATTGTGTAAGAGCAATTATAAAATGAGAAGCGTGTCTGTCCTCGGGGTGAAACTTTCCTGATGTGGTGATTCTTGCTTTTTTATTTTTTTCTCTGTGCTGCATATATGCTAGTGAAATGCTGATTTTTCTCTTAGCACTGCCTTCAGATTTAGTGGTGAGGGAGGGAAGGACACCATCATCACTGCTGGGTCTCTGGATGTTGTACTGCAACCCAGGGGAGGAATTGAGCTGGTAACAAGCTGCTAGAAGTGAGAGATTTCTGTCAGCTCAGCTGTCTCTGGAATGGTGTCTCGCTGTGGCCTGGTTATGGTTATGCATAATGCACTTGCAGCTTGCTGTTACACTGAGTTTTAGAGCAGCAGAGCACTCGGAGGTGCAGCCCAGCTGCAAGGCAGGGAGCTAGCTGGGAGGATTCTTATGGGAAGCCTCCACAGGCCGGCATCAGAATGGCTTGCCTGACAGTCCTGTCATCACTGTAATATTTGTCATGCAAATTATTGATATTTTAGGCACGCTGTTCTTCTTTGTGGTCACTCTGAGCCTTTACTTAGTAGTAGAAAAGAGAAAATTATGTGGCATCAGTCATAACTTCATCAATTCATTAGTGTAGAAAATAAATTTTGACCTTTTTTTTTTAAAAAAAAAAATCAGAATGAAAATATATGAAGAAAAATTTTTTTTACTTCAACCAACGTTCTCCAAGTCAATGTTAAAAGCCTTTCAGAACTGGGGGCAAGTTGGGTTATTGGGATGCACAAGAGGCTACTTAGTTTCGGAAATATGTTTTCCATCTTGATTATCAGAATAAGTCTTTCTAGGCTTTTTTGTACTAGCAAGTAATGTGAGAAGTACCTCTGGAGCTTTAGAAGCCCTCAAGAGTTTGGTGCTGGTAAGAACAATTGATTGCCTTTGTGCTGTCTGCACTGGATTAGTGAAAGAATAAGACTGCTTAGTCTTAAGAAGAAGCTTGCCCTCTGGCTGACCTCACGACATTAAAATAAGGCAGTAGAACTATCTACCCAGTTGACATTTTCTAAATATTAAGTGTTATAGACAGCATACTACAGTGTTTTATTTGCTCAACTTTCCAGTTGTGTAGAGTGCTTTTAGGAAAGTCATATGATTAATTTCTATTTGAAGACTTTCTCTACCTAGAAATAAAAGCTATTTTCTTACAAAATGTTCATTAATGTAGATGAAAGTAGCTTTATTATGAGCTTCTAGTATTTGCCAGGTTTTGTGTTTAGTCGACACAGGTGCTAGTGGATCAAATTGGTTGTTAGTGAAGGAGCTGTGTAAATCCTGAATTATTTTTAATTCTTATTTAATTTAAAAGAAAAAAACCCCCTTATAATAATGATTATGTTATTAGAGAGAAAATGTGTGATCTGTGTTGCACACTGGGTCCTTAAATGCAAATACTATTTGTAGAATAGTTATGCCTATTTTACACATCATATAGTCTTTCCTTTAATGATATTTTTCAAAGGTTTGCTTGATTTCCACTCCATACTAGAGGGTATGCTGACAAGTGAGGTACCACCTGATCATTAATGAACTTTCCATAAAGAATGTGTGTGCAGAAAACCTTACAAATAAATTATGGTTGTTCTCTAGTGTCACACAGTGGGATGTAATGATACCTTTAAAATCAAAATTCTGAAAAGCACTCCTGACAGTGACACATATCCCTGGGTGAAAAATCTGTAATCTGCAATAAAAAAAAGATACAATTGTGCTCTGTGTGATTTGTACAGGGTATTTCTAGCTTGAACTAAAGTATATGGTCCTGCTTGACCAACCTGGTCTCCTTCTATGACCAGATGACCTGCCTAGTGGATTAGGGAGAGGCTGTGGATGTTATCTACCTGGACTTTAGTAAGGCCTTGGACACTGTTCCCCACAGCATCCTCCTGGAGAAACTAGCTGCCCGTGGTTTGGACGGGTGTAATCTTCACTGGGTAAAGAATCGGCTGAATGGCCAAGTGCAGAGAGTGGTGGTGAATGGAGTTAAATCCAGCTGGTGGCCGGTCACAAGTGGTGTTCCCCAGGGCTCAGTTTTGGGTCTGGTCTTGTTTAACATCTTTATCAATGATCTGGATGAGGGGATGGAGTGCTCCCTCAGTCAGTTTGCAGATGACACCAAGCTGGGCGGGAGTGTTGATCTGCTGGAGGGTAGGAAGGGTCTGCAGAGGGATCTGGGCAGACTGGATCCATGGGCCGAGGCCAATTGTATGAGGCTCAACAAGGCCAAGTGCCGGGTCCTGCACTTGGGTCACAACAACCCCATGCAACGCTACAGGCTTGGGGAGGAGTGGCTGGAAAGCTGCCTGGTGGAAAAGGACCTGGGGGTACTGGTCTACAGCTGGCTGACCATGAGCCAGCAGTGTGCCCAGGTGGCCAAGAAGGCCAAGGGCATCCTGGCTTGTGTCAGGGATAGTGTGGGCCCGAATGAGGAGTGGCTGAGGGAACTGGGGCTGTTAAGTCTGGAGAAGAAAAGGCTGAGGGGAGACCTTATTGCTCTCTACGACTATCTGAAAGGAGGTTGTAGTGAGGCAGGTGTTGGTCTCTTCTCCCAAGTAACTAGTGATAGGATGAGAAGCAATGGCCTCAAGTTGCATCAAGGAAGGTTTAGATTAGATATTAGGACAAATTTCTTTACTGAAAGAGTGGTCAGGCATTGGAACAGGCTGCCCAGGGCAGTGGTGGAGTCCCCATCCCTGGAGGTGTTCAAAAAACATGTAGATGTGTCACTTTGGGACATGGTTTAGTAGGCATGGTGGTGTTGGGTGGATGGTTGGACTTGATGATCTTAGAGGTCTTTTCCAACCTATAATTCTATGATGCTATATGTGTGCTGATATAATTTCAGTTAGTTGGCAGCAGTCCACTCAGCATTGTTGGAGACGGGCACGCTCTGCATCAGCAAGCATTGGCACGGTCATAGTAGATCAGTAGGTAGCTTTGGGCCCTTATGTTTCCATTAGATTTTGGAACAAGTTTTGTGTCTGGAGTGGAGCATTTTGGCTTAGTTTCCATTGAAAAGGGTATAATTTGTGTACACTGAAACTGCTTTGTGATCCAAACCAACACGTGGTAAGTGAAGATGTCGGGGAATTTGCTTTGAGACAGCACAGCTACTCCAAACCAAACACTAATGTGGTCGTGGCCCCTAAAGCTGAGAGTATGAGATGCCTTTAAAGTATACTCTGTGTATACAGATCTTCAACTTTGATGTTGTGTAATTGACAGTATCCACACCAAGATAAATATAGGTACGTGAAGTTTGGTGTAAATGGGGAATCTATATAAAATATTCCATGATTTTGTTTGTATGTAGCTGTACTGCTGACGTTTTATCACCCTTATATGTAGCTTTATTTGTTCCCTGTCTTTTCAGACACGCACATTTTGATGTGTGTGGTTTTTTTTGTGTTTTTTTTTTAAATTTGGTTACACTTTGGGAACTTGAAAACACTTTTTTACATAAAGGTAATTTTGTAAACCAAATATTAGTTAATTACAGCTAGAACGATATGTTATGTTGGCCAGAGTTTTTCTTCGCTTCCACAATCTTTAGTCATGGAGCCAGTACATGAATTGAATTTTGATGAGACTGCAAGAGTGTTAAGAATGCAGAGCAATTAACAGAATGATAGGGTATAAGAAGTCTGAGACGGCTGTATGCTACGAAGTAGTTTGTCAGAAACCAAACAAACTGGAACAAAAGCTAGAGTTTGTCTCAGTGGGGAAATAATGATGAATGAGGCACTCTTACCTTTGGAACTTGCTAGATATTGTTCTTTTTCTTTCCTCTGAAGGTATGCTGCTCCACTGAAATCAAACATTTCACAGAAGTGTTCTGGCTCTGACAAAGCTCCTTTCCAGTCAAAGGAGAAGTGTGAGCCTTCTCATTGCTCTCGTAGCAAGGAGGCTTTCATTTGAGGTGACGTCCAGGCTTTGGAGGTCCTTGCTCCCAAATTACTACTTAAACTGTTCTGCATTTTTATATCTTTCTGTTACTATTTTAAAAATAAAAAAAATCAATTTTTACGATGAAAGCATGAAGAAGTCTGATAAAACTGGAAAGCTTGATTTGAAAGTCTGAAACAGGTCATGCAAGTTATTCTTTAGTAATGCATAGTACGCATACAGAAGCATTAGGAATTCTAGGCAGGTCATCAGCTTGAAGTTGGTGGGTGAACCTTCAGGGAAGATAATATCATTTGCATGAACAGTTGTATGAGTGGGGTTCTGATACAGTCAGCACTGTGGCTCGACTGAAAGCTTCTTCGCAAGATGAAAAATTCTAATTTTTCAGTCAGTAAGGAATTATTTTCAGAACTCTTGTTTACATTGTATGCCTTTCTTTCTGATTATGAGGATTTCTAATTGTTCTTTTTCTCTCTTCCAAAACAGAATTAGACCACAGCTAGCTAAAGAGAAGATTGAAGGATGCCATATTTGTACATCCGTCACACCTGGTGAACCTCAAGTGTTCTTGGGAAAAGATAAGGCCTTCACTTTTGATTATGTCTTTAACATTGATTCGCAACAAGAAGAGATCTATTTACAATGTATAGAAAAACTGATTGAAGGTTGCTTTGAAGGCTATAATGCCACTGTCTTTGCTTATGGCCAAGTAAGCTTTTCAATTTTATATGAAAGTATTTATTTTGGAATAAACATTTTCTTGTAACTGATCACTGTCTTCAGTTTCAGAATGCATGAATTTGTTTTTTAGCATCTTGGTTTTATTTTAAATGAGGTATCCTGTAGGAGACTGTTCAGGAGTTTGTATAGATACTGTGCAGAATGGCAATTGAAACACAACATATATATAGTCAGTAGGTCTGAATTAATAGTAATGCTGAAAATAACATGAGTCCATATAATTCCTGAATTCACCCCAATGCAGCAATACAAATTAGTGACTTAATCAGTTGATATAGAGAGATATGTTGTACTGGGATTCTTTTTCGTAACAGTTATCCATCCTTCTGCATTTTCAGACACTTCTGGGGAGAGGAGCTTTTTAAAAACAGATCCTAGGGAACTTCAGGCCACATTGTTTGTGAGCAAAATGCAGAGATCAGATTCTAAATGCAGAGAATTTTTTGTAGAGAACACACCGTCTCTGTACACTGGGGACACATTTCACTTCTCAGAAAAGCTGAAATGATTGAGCGCAATGTGGAGAATGTGCTATTGTCTTCTGAATATTTGTTTAGGAATTGATTGCATAAAATTTGGGCTTGAATGCTGAATTTCACCACTGTTAGATGTCTTATCTCAAGTTAGCTAGGTGAAGTCTAGTCCTAGAGAAACAAAGCAGTTTGCAGATCCAGTTTAGTAGATTATATTCAGCTGCATGATACTATCTTTGTCTTAGACTTGACCCACTAATTAAGTGAAAACACAACACTATGTTGTCTTTTATAGGACTTGACATTAAATTATTTTCCTAGTGAAGGTGCAGCTTCAGTGCCGTCAATAAATTGAGAACAACAGTAATATTCTACCCGAGATATTCAGGCGTTGTAATTAACAGAGTAATTTGATCTACTTCAGTAAAGAATTGCAAATGCTGCTTCTACCTCCAAAATATATGCTTTAATCAATAGTCTTGGTTGAAAACGTGAATTATTCTTTTGACCTCAGAGATGATAGCTCAAGGCTGATGTAAGTAGCTTAGAGGAAGTTTGTACAGGAAAGGTTATGAAAAGATTGAACAGGTTGCTGCCTTCTTGTGTGTGATCTGTGGATAAGCAGTACAGTTTGCCCAACTTCTGCTGTTTATCTAATTTTAAAAATGACCTGTTGTTGTGCATGTTAATATTGTAAAGATGACAGACTGACTTAGTAGTCGCTGTCTAGCACTAGCGTTCACAAATTGTGTTTCTCTGTGATGACTCTGTACTATTAAAGTGTTCTAGTGACTACCCCTTTGTCAATTTAGACAGGTGCTGGCAAAACATACACCATGGGCACTGGATTTGATGTCAACATAACAGAAGAGGAACAAGGCATTATATCGCGTGCTGTTAAGCATCTTTTCAGATGTATTGAAGAAAAAAAACAAGCTGCTATTAAACAAGGACTTCCACCTCCAGATTTTAAAGTGAATGCACAGTTCTTAGAGGTAAATACAATCTGTGTTTGTGTGTGTAACTTCATATATTTTTTTGGAAAGCCAATTAAACTTTTTTTTTCTGCTTGCTACTTCTACATTCTTTTCCCACAAGGTGTTTTGAATTAATCTTCAAGATTGCAAAAGGAAATTTTGTGGAGTTTGCGTCAACTCTTCAGTTTATGAAAAAGAGCATTTTATCTGATTCCACGTAGTAGTTTCCTTTACAGGGTTATTTTGAAGTGTAGAAATATAATAGTTATATTAGTCATCATTTATCCCTTTCTGCAGCACACATTTGTTTGTGGGGGACCTGTTGCTCTTGTCTGTTTGTAATTCTTTACAAAACCTTAAAGCAAGAAACTATATATTAAAAAAAAAGAAAACAGTTGTGCTTTTTTCCTTTGAATAGTGGCAGTGCTTTACCTGCTATTGTTACTTTGCCATAGATTTCTTTAGCTTTCAAAATCTGTGCAGGAGACTTGTTATATTCCTTTCACCAAAGAAGAAACCTAGCATAAAAATACTTCTTTCTGTGATCCCCAGTGGCTTAAGACAGGGCTTCTGTATCGCTGTTTCCTCTTCCATCAGACCCAGAGGAAACTTGGGTCAGTACTGTGGAAAAACTGTTCCCTTTGTGTTTTCTTGTAGACACAGCTACTGGTAAGAGAGGTCATAACATCTGTGATCCTTCCGAGCTGCAGCAGCTGGGTTTAAGTCTTGCAGCTTTTAAGCTGTGTCTCCTGCCCATGGAACGATTTTTTAAATTGATTGATTTGAGTGTAACATATTTACATTCGCTACCAAGCTGCAAAATCTGATACTTTAAGCACATGGAGAGGAGGAATCAATTTAAGGAAGAGCAGGTGTAAATGTGTATTGCTTAGTTCAGTATTTGCAACTTTACATATCTACTTCAAGGGTGGGGAAATCCACTTTTTTATATTACCCAGGAGAAAAGTTGTTTGTTTTATTACTGCTGGAGTAAACTAGGTCCTTTAGTCATATGTTGCTATAATTGTTTTAAAGATTAACAAGCTGGCATTAGTTTTGCATTAGTATAGGTTTGTCACTGCTAACCTTAAGCAGAACTTTTTGTCACTCTGGCTAATGTTTGCATAGAGAGAGTTGAGGCTTAAGTGTGGGCTGTGGGAATGCTGTACTTTTCTGTTCTCTTTTTGAACAATGAGGAGCTGCAACAGTAGTAGTGTAAGGAGTAGTAACCAGTCTAGTTTTTGAATTCCGTGTGTTTTTTGACATAACATTGCAAATGTGACATTGAGAGTCCCAAAATACAGAGCACTAATGGAATGTTACAGTGATAATGATATGCAGAATTGCAGCCATTGCAACGTATTTCAGATTAAATGTACATACTAAAACCTATCTTGTTTATCTAATTTAGAGAAAGGTTAAATTACATATATAATATTTTTTCCCTTAAAACATTGCTGTCTTTGGTAGATTTTTTTTTATTCTACTGAGGCTAAATTGGAGCTTTCCCAGAAAGAAGTTGTTTCTGATTAATTAAGTAGTATACACTACTCTTGTATCAGAAAGTATCCTCTTCCCATCCTGTGTACCATAAGAGCTGGATTACATAACCAATAATTTAGTCATTGAACAAGTTGAAGCAAAAACAACTTTGAAGTCTGACAGCTGGACAACTATTGGGGACGGTGACTTCTGTTTGCTGCTTTCTGGCTTTTCTTTAATTTGCTGCAGTCTGCCTCTCAACTCCTCGCTTTTCCTGCTAACTTTCCCAAAAGATAGGCATATGCAGTCCCATGCAGTTGTAGGTGTATTATCAGATCCTCTCGAAACTGTGGCATCAGTTTGTTTGCACTTAGCAAGGTAAAACATTAGTAACAAGGCTCCTACTTAGAATATTTGTGCCTAATTATTAAATGTAATTCCTGTATAATATGTAAAGAATAAAAAGTGTCACATTCACAAATGCTGATACTTTTCTTCGGGATGGATTTTTGCTTGTGAGAGGAGAAAGCTGTTTGCTTTCAATATGTGGGAGAGTACATTGGGTGAATACAGATCTATTGTAGTGGTTCTTGGGCTTTTACCGAGGGACTTTGATCGGGGATTTAATCAGTCTGGCCTAAGCTCTGCTGAAGTGAATTGGTGTAACCAAATTAACGATGCTGGAACTGTTGCAATGTAAATCAGCAGAGACCTGAGCCATGAGATGCAGTGAGATGCTGCTTTTCCTGTTGTGTTTTTTTTTTTTTTTTCTTCTTTTAATGTTTGCCCTGATGTAAACTCAGAACATTCTTATGAAATGATAATCCATCTCCTCTAACACCCATAACTGCGTAGTAATTTCTGATGTCTTTCCTGGTTCTGATATCATTTACTGACCTAGAAGTCTGATGTGCTGAGTGATACTGAGTTGAAGGATGAGTAAATGTACATGTGCTTAATCTTCAAGAGACCCAGTGAAAGAGGCAGTAAACACCAAGCAGCCTGAAATATATAGTAAATAATTGCTGTTGCTCAGATGATTGTGCCTGAAAGTTGTAATTAAATCTGTGACACCAAAGTGTAGATCCTGTACAGAGGAAAGTACAAAAGTGCTGCTCAAGAAACGATGCCGTAGTATTTTTGGCCTGCTGGTTGGTGTCTTTAATAAGCAGCCTGGACAAAAACTATTATGTGTTAAATTCCTTCCAGGATGGGAACAGATTATCTAAATGAAAGAGAGACGTAAAATTATTAAGGTGTGAGAGAGGAGACGAGAAAAGGTGTGATGACAGGGAGAGCAAGTGGAGTGAGTTTATATATAAAGTGTTTAGAGGAGGGTGCAGCCAACTGAATGAACAAAACAAAAGCCAAGCCCAAGGTCAAACTTGAAGACAGCAGGTGCCTGCCACAGCACCCACTGCTGCCGTTCTGCTGGCATCAAGTGCCTCCCCTTCCCTGGTCCCACCAAAGAATTTCCTCCCAGATCTGACAATGTGGAGGAAGTTACTGTTTCTTTGGGGGGCATAATAGTAATGTGTGTAGGTGACTTAAGTTGCAGTTGCTCTGTCATCCTGTTGTCCTTATATGTCTGTATGTTTCACAGCATCCTTTTTTGAGAGCTTTGGCATTTGGATTTTTAGAAGAACTTCCTGTATGTGCCATGCACAGATTTGTTAGTCTTTGAATGAATTCCTTCCTAAAGCAATATATATTTTTTGCCTTTTTTTTGTCCTCAGCTTTACAATGAAGAAATTCTTGATCTGTTTGATACTACACGTGATATTGATGCGAAGAATAAAAAATCAAATATTAAAATACATGAAGATTCAGCGGGAGGAATTTATACAGTGGGTGTTACAACCCGAACTGTGAATGGAGAATCAGAGGTAATAATTGAAAATAAGCTACTCTGCAGCATACCAAGTGCATTCTAAAAATGTTGTCTTGTTTTGATAAGCAGTTGTTAATAGAAGTTATGCTTGCTAACATCTGCATCTTAGACAATTTAGGTGTAAAATGTAGCTGAAATTTATTTTCTTTAGTTTCTGTAGTCTTAAATGTAATAAATGTTTGATATTAAGTGCATACCACTTTCAGTTCATGCTAGAAACAGACTTCTGCTAATAATACAGTTCTGCTAGGAGAGAAAATTTTGGCATGTGTGTAAATCTGATTTTCCAAATCTTATATATGTTGTTTTCCTTGTGACAGGAAAGCTTTGCATGATAACTGATACAAGGTAAACTGCCATTCATGTGCGTTCCAAATCTGGATACAAATGTTATTGTACTCTACATTTTTGTACAGAAAGTTCAAAAATTGTACACTGTGCCCCAGGTGAATGGAGATTGCTGTATTAGTATCAGGGGACAGGAGAAAGAGGGGTACAGAGATTTAAGTGTTTCCTTTCAGAAACCACAAAAAATACTATTGGTTTGCTTATTTAAGGATCTGTGTGCTTTTTGGTGTGTAGGAACTGAAATCATAGCAAAGAGAAAAAGCTTATTTATATTATCCGAAACAGTAAGTGTTATAGGAACACTTTTTATTTAAACTGCAAGCAGGGCAATGTACTTCTTTTCTGTTTCTTAGATGATGCAGTGCTTGAAGCTGGGGGCTTTGTCTCGAACCACTGCCAGCACGCAGATGAATGTTCAGAGCTCACGGTCACATGCTATCTTCACTATACACTTATGTCAAACCAGAGTCTGCCCTGCATTTAGCACTGTACGTATCTTTGCTGTTATTAAACTTCGCTTTAGTAACCATTTTTCAAAATGTGAGTGTTGTTTTGGCAGCCACTGCTGTTTGAATTGCACTTGGTAAAGATGCTACAGTCATCATCATGCTCGATGAATTTGCTAAGTATTATAATAATTTGATTTAATCTGTGCATATGTAACCATCGTCTAGCCAGAGGCAACCATAAACTGCAGCCTCTTACATGAGCCTGCCCATTCTCCTCTAGCGTTTTCTTCAGTATTTTGTTGCAACATACACAAGTAAGAAAGTAAAAAAGTAATTTGTATTTAATTGGGAAAGTGTTTTAGGTGTCTTACTAGTTAGTGGGTTTAAACTCGCAGTCAGCTAACTGAAAATGCTTGGATATTCCAGATGAAGTGTTGATATCCAACCAGGAGCAAGTAGAAAAGCATTCAGTTCTAAGGCTTAGTGTATTTTATAGATACATATTTGGGATTCAGATGTGTTGTTAAGTCTATGCACTTAACCTGAAATTTAAACTATGAATGTACATGGAGCTCTTTTGTAGAAGATTTTCATGTGACTGTGCAGTTGTAGTTGCTGTTGGTGTATCTTGTAAAGAGGAGAGTTGTGAATAAATGCATATTACTAAAAACTACAGTAACTTCAGAGGGACTTAATATGATTATTCTAAATGTATCAAAATTTTTAAATATTTTGGTGAACTCCTAAGTATTTGGCAAGCGTTTTACACATAGATATCACATCTCTAAGCATGTGGAACAGTGAATTTGATTTGTAGTGCCTTCTTGGAGGGGGAGGGTGGGCGTTGCTTTTTATTTTAACACTACAAACAATCATTTGTAGGCAAAATGAGGGCTGCTCCCTGGTCCTTTGTGGTATGTAGATCTTTACACACCTGTTAAAAACACTGCTTCCTGCTTTCCACACTGGAACTGTGGATCTGGTGGTGTGGGCAGCTGTCTGTCTTGTCACTCGTGAGGGACTGGCATCACACTCGGAGCCCAGACAGGGCACCTCAGTCACTGCATGGTGACACTGTCTGCTCGGAGGTTTTCTTAAAAAAAACTGTCTGTGTAGCTGGGGAAGGGGAACTCGCCTGGGAGCCTTAGTTCCCGCAGGCTGTCAGCACAGCAGCCCACTGGCACTGGTGCACTCACAACCCTCCCCACCAGCTGAGCCGCACGCAGGGCTGTTGCCTGGCCCTGCCTGGTTTTAACAGGGGTTGTGTTAAATGAATAGGTGACCGCCTTCTGCCTCATGTTAAACTGTGTTTTGTTTCTGCTTTTTCTTTTTTTTTTGGGGGGGGGAGGGGAGGAGATATGAGCAAGATAATCTGACTGTCTGGAGCTGGGCATTCCGAGATCTTTAATCTGTGAAGACTGTGCCCTTTTCTTTCCCTGTAGTGTTTAGGAGAGTAGAGGTTAGACCTGCTGCTGGCCTCTGAACACTTCTGGAATACAAATTAATATAAGCTGTTGGTGAGTGGCCAGGAGAGATGCAGCTCAAGCTTCTGTAGACAACAGTTTTGGGAGACCTTTGTTACTAGGGCAACGTAGTCTCCCCTCCTCCGGTGGCAGTGCTGGCTGTGACCCCTCCATGTGTGGTTGCTGGTGCCCAGTGTGTGCAGGCAGCCGGGGCTGCAGTGCACAGGCGCTGCTCCTCGTGCTGTGCTCACACCATCTATGCTTCTCAGAAGTTTCTGGATGTGTAGTTGACTTACTAAGTAGGTGAGAGTGAAAGCATGAATTAATCATTACTTTGAGAGCTGCGGTCCATAGCAGTGTAAATGTCAAAATACCAGAAATAGTCATTTCCAGTCTTGCGGAAGTGGCATAATTCCTGTCCTCTTCTGAAAGTGCTAGAAAAGATCATTTAAGAAGCATGAAATGCTTAACTACCATGAGAAGGGTTTGATCTGCAACGACATGCATTACCCCTTGCAGTAGCAAATTAAGCTGTGAGCTAGCTGACCAAGGGCATAAAGATCATTGCTACAGGATACCTGAGGGTTTTTTTTAAGAGAAAAACCAGAACAATCTATGCTTACTGTGATAGAAATTCCTAATAAAGCCTGTAGATTGGCTGTGTGAGTATTATAAATCCAGTATATGCTCAATATATTGCCTATTACATGCCGCCATGACAAGTAGGTAGAAATTGCCCTGAGATGGGTATCTTACCAGGAAGGGCAAGAAGTGAGTGATTTGAAGATTTTTCCCATTCAGTGTTGCTTTCCTGATGACAAGTCTAACTACACTTACAGTAAAATAAAACTCCAGTATATGCTGCAGTTACACTAATCGACAGAAAAAAGCTGGGGATTATGTAACAAAAAAGGAGAATTTTCCTGCTGCGCTTTGGGATCTGAAGTGGAAAGAGGCTGAGGCTGCCTTAGCTGCCCGTAGTGCACCGTGTTCCTGGGCAGACTCCCTGCGCTGACGGAGGCGTGCGTCAGGTGCCAGTCTAATTACAGCTTACCTGGGGGAGGATGGGGAGAGAGGAACCTCTTCTGTTTCCCTCGTTCCCTCTGCTGTCCTTATTTTCTGGTCAAGTCAGAAGTGCTGGTGGAATACTGGCTGCCAGGAAAACTGGCTTAAAAAAATAATTCCTACAGTAAAGTTGAAGAATCATGCCACAGGGAAGCTGATGATGGGGATTAGAGAAGTTTAAAATCAAAATATCTTTCAGTTATTCGTGAACTAAATAACTAAGTTTATTTATGCATTAAGTGGGTCTGGTAATTTTGAGGAGATAATAATATAATTAGGTGGTTTTTTTCATCAATTTCCTTCGACATTTGATTTAAGACTTGCATCCCAGGAGAGGTAAAAATTTTGTTGCCCACCTGGCTGAAGACTTGTATATTTTAATTTATGTATCCCTGCATTCCTCCGTCAAGAAACAATTGTAGCTCATACTTAAAGTAATTGGTATTCACATGCATCTAGAGCTGGGTCTTCCAGAATGATATGTTAGTACATATAATTAAAGTAGGGATAATTTTCTGAGAGATACTGTTGTTATAAAAGATTGAGTAAATAAGGAAAGAGATGAACATGACAGATGGATAGTCTTGTAAATAATTGTTGATTGAACTTTGCAGTAGACAAACATTAATGTGAAAAATCTTGCCAGTCTTTGTGTTCTTGTTTATTTCAGGATAATGCCACCGATAACAGGATAATATCTGAATCTTCTGAGATGAATGAATTTGAAACTCTTACGGCCAAATTCCATTTTGTTGATCTAGCGGGATCTGAAAGGCTAAAGCGAACAGGAGCTACAGGAGAAAGGGCAAAAGAAGGCATTTCCATCAACTGTGGACTAGTAAGACTATACAACTTATTTCTATAGACTGTTGGTACCATCTTCTCTTCCTTTTTGGATCACTTGATTTTAGTAACCCCTAAAGTAGAAATGCATTGTGTGCAGAACAAGGACTGTAGCATGCAATGTAACAGTATATATTGATTCTTACTGGGTTCTGGCTTGCTGATGTTTTCTTGGTTGTACTAGGCCCTAACTAGCATATTATGGTACTTATAAGTGTTGTGAAATATGGTTAGATACTCTAACTTTTAAAAATATATTGTAGAGTTCCTTTCACTTTTTTTTAATTTTTCATTCTTTGAAGACCCAAACAATTGGAGAACATTACAAGCAGTTTGCAAGGAGTACAGGCATGTAAAATATGGACAATGAATAAGCTTAATTGGTCAACAAATACTAGTTCTTTGTTATAATTTTGAAACGTAATGTAAACCAATCCTAGGCAAAACACTTCTAAGTAGAATTAAGATTTTTAATTTCTAGCATCACTTTTTTTTTTGTCTGTACTGGCTCTCTGTGTAGTTTTTTTAATTAACTGTATTGAATATTTTACTGAACATTTACTTAACTACAGTGAAAAGTAGAGCTGGTGTTTATCAGTGGAGGTTGTAGTTTCATGCCTTTGTTTTGAGCTACTTGGCTGTGTGGAGGCGCTGTGCAATTCTCTTTTAAAGACGAAAAAATAGATATTTGTCTTGGACATGGAAACGTGTGTGTGGTGTGTGTGTTGTGTGTTGTTTTTTTTTTTTTGTCTAGCGTGTAGTACCGGAGAGGTATTCTGCAGCTAGAACTTTCTTAGTGATTCTCTCACTATCATGACAGTGGTTATATTCTGTAGTTACTCTGGTTATGCTATATGGAAAAGAAAGAGAATTCTCTTCAGTTTGATTATTGATAGAAGTGCAAAGCCTAAAGAAATTTGGGGGTTTAGGTGATATAGATGTATCCTTAACAAATAGGATACAGAATGCATGAAGGTGAAAATCTGCAAGATTAAAATATTATTTTATATGATCATAAAACTTTCATTTACAATGAATACCAGCCCTCAGCTTTGGGAAACAGATTGAAAGTACACTTCATGGCAGTCACAGAATGTGGTGTATACGCAGTTGTTCAGCTGCTGGATGCAGCAAGACCATTTTCAAGGCTAAGAACTGCTGTGCAGGGTGCCATCTACAGGAATATTCTTTATTTGGTGTATGATTGATGTACCTGCAGTTGCACATTAAAAAAAATAATTTGCAGCCAAATGTTAGCCTGTTTATAAACAGGAATTACTCTTTTAGCAATGAAATAGGATAGCCATGGACTTTAGAATTTCAAGCTTTAAATCTTAATCAGACATTCCTTGTTTCATATCTGTAGAGGTAGTAAATTCGGGTTTTTTTAGTATTGATGACCCATATTTTATTCTAAATCTAGCATAAAGCAAATTGATAAAATTAATTTAAAAAAAGCATGTAACTACTGCTAGTAGCGATCAGCTTTAATAATCATGGAAAGTATATGTTTGTTGCATGAAGTAGTTGTAACTATAGTTTCGACTGAAATGAGTTATCAATAGACACTGCACACAAATTGTGCTAAGCACTTCACACTTGCAGATACCAGACTGCAAGCCATGTGATTCACTGTTGGTAGCACGAAAGTTTATAGATGTCTACTGTAAAATGTAAAAATCTTCAGAAATATTTTTGTTAATTTTCATGAGTATATTCATTTTCTTCACAATGTGTAGACCCCAGTTCGTAGCTGTGTTTAAAATAGAATCAGTTCATGCATAGTTTTAACTTACGCGTTACATGATTTGGTGTTTTGTAGCTGGCGCTTGGCAATGTAATAAGTGCACTAGGAGATAAAAGTAAGAAGGCAACTCATGTACCATACAGAGATTCAAAGCTTACAAGGCTGCTTCAAGACTCTCTTGGGGGAAACAGGTATGAAAACTAGAATTTTTTATGTATTTCATTGTGAGTGGGAATGAATGAGTACATAATCTTCAGAAAGTAAAATAAACATTGAACAATGATAAAAATAGCCACGCTTTGTTGGAGGGAGGTTCCAAAAATAAATTACTGTCATGACAGAAAACACTGGCAGTGCAGGGAAAAGATTTTAAAGAGGATTTTTGCATTGTTCTTTTCAGTGCTATTGTAGCTTTACTAGACACGAGGCTTCAAGTTACTTAGAAGTCACCATTTTCAGGACACGTCCTTTCTGTGAAGACATCTTTAGGTTGTAGATAACGTAAATGGTAAACTTTATTATTGTGTTATAGCCTTACTAATTACAGCATAGTTTAAAGTGGTGATGAGTTTCTCCTTCAGAGTTGTTTTGTTATTTTTTTTCAAAATTGTTTTCTGTGATTGCCATGCACAAGAGCTTGGAATCAGCTTACACAAGACACTACCATCTTTTTGTAAAGGTTGTGTATCTCACGGTATGGTGCATCTGTCCAGTTATCTGACGTTGGATTAGAGCGTAATAAAAACAAACTACTGCATCACCAGAATTGTTTGTATGAAGCTGTTCTGTATACCTACTGCGCATACAAGGAAGCCAGGCTATAGCCTCTGAAAGCTTTGTCCAAGAAAACATTCACAAATTTATTAAAAAAACATGAATTTTGTATTTGTAATATTAACATGTACAAATACAAAAGGGATCATAACTGAATATGTTTTAGCAAGGTAGTACTCTTATTCCTCTCTTTAATAAAATATGGCTGGCTGTTTTCTTTTTTTTGGGGAGGGCAGGAAATTTTCCAGGCGTTTCATAAAGGAACAGGGAGAAGTGGAAGAGAATTTCTAAGTTGTTGCACTGCTCTGCAGAGAGAGAACTTCAGTAGCACCTTGCAGCACTGCAGTGTGAGGAAAAGCAGAGTGTCAAACAAAACAAAGTAAAGGCTAGGATTTTCAGAAGTGCTTAAGGGAGGAAGAAACTCAAGAATTATGGAAAAAATCAATAGAAATCAAGAGCATAGCTCTTCTAAGCTCTTTCTGGAAACAATAACAAATAGCCTTTCTTGACTAAATTTTGTATCAAATACACTAGCTAAGGAGCATTTTTTTTAAACCACTTCTAAAATGCACTTTTGTTGAAATATTATTTTGATTCAAAATATCTTTCCATCTTGTAGCTCCTGTGCTCCCTCTCCTGTTCTTCAGGAGAAGTTAGTTTGCTGTACAATGTACAGATAGCAAATGCTGTCCCAAAGCATTTTCAAGGATATTCAGATATATTCTTTCTGTGTGTTTCTGAGTGATGTTAAATTTGTGGACACTTCTCCAACACCACACCCCCACCACCCAACCCCCCAATTTTTACATATGTGTTATGTGTACCGAGACATGTGAAATTAGCTGTTTGCTGTTAAGGAGGAGTTATACATATTAACAGAATTTGAATAATTTCTTATCCATGCTTTAGCAACCATAAAGTGTGGGGAAGCTAAATTTTAATAAATGTGCAATTTTTATTCTGGGAAATCAGATTTAGATTTTTGTTAGCCTGTTCTGTAGCCTTCCAAATTCCACCTTAGATATTATAGTCCACATTATTTCTTCTCTTCGGCAAATACTTAAAAAAGATTTACTAGTAGTGATTCAGGTTAGATTGCAGTGAGTCCTGAGTTAACATTGTATCCCTGTGCTATTCTTGCCATAATCTCTATTTTAAATATAATGCTGTAACAATTCTGAAGTAGCATTTAAATATTAATGTTTATTGAATTATTCAAGTAAGAATATGGAATACTAGTGTTTTTAGAATGGAATTTTATAACCTATAACATGAAAAATGAAATCCTTCGTAACTTCTGGGGTGGGGGGGAGCAGTTTAAAGAAGTGGTAAAATAAATGGAGTAGAATAGTTTTTTTGTTTTGTTTTTTAAGTAGTCCATAATACAGTTCAGATAGGACAGTAGAGTTCAACTTGTTCAGTTTTCAAGACAGACACATAGCAGAACCAGTCCTCTGAGATTTAGAAAAGTAATCACATTCTCAACTGAAAGCACAAGTAGTCCTAATGTCAGAATTAAAAATTTATTCTGGATCTTGCATAGTCTTGTCTTGAAGACTAAACTCAAACAATTTGGAGAACTGACACAAAGGTATACAGGAGGTTTGAGGAAGAATTGCTGAAACTGAATCTTCTTGTATCCTCAGGCTAGTTAGTCTTTCCAGTTCAGTTTCCCAGTGTGTACCAGTTCAGTTTCCCAGTGTGTATGGTGAATGTAATTGTTTGCCTCACAAGGGGTGGCAGGGATTCATTTGTTTGTCTCAGTCTGAAAATGTAGAAAGTGAAGGTCAGAATCCAGTCTGCCTAATGCAGATGTTGCTCCATTGCCCTGGAGACAGTGCTTCCTAACGCAACCACCTAAGCTTTAACATACTGCGGAGAAGCAAATTCCTCTAAAACCTGGAGAGCAGGACTCTGTCCTTCAAATGTAGGTGTTTTCCCCTATCTATTGAGAATTTAGGCCATGTAGGCACCTTCAGAGTGTGATGTGCAGCTGGACCTCTAGTTCTGACCCCTCTAGGCTGTTCTCATGTGATGTGAAATGATTGTGCTCCACGGAGTGAGGGAAGGGACCCTGGTTCCTCTGTCAGCCTGTTGAATGATGAAACCGCTTAGTTGGAATGACAAATCTTTTGCCTTTCTGATTTTGTGCCACTCGTTCTTAGTGGTCTGTCTGCTCAGATCTTCATTTGGAGCAGGGAGTGTGTTCTCACTCTGTTTTATCCCATTATGGGATGACTAGAGGGTGTTGTAGGAACCTGAATGGAAGATGGTTGTTTGTAGCCCATTTGGACCTAGAGCTCAGGTCCTGCTACTTTTTGTGGAAGTGCTCTAAGCAGTGGTGTTATGAAACATGGAATAAATAAAGTCATGGCCAGATGTACTAAGGGTAAGTGCTAGCTTTTGGGCTTTTGTTGAAGAATAGGAGATAATTTGCAGTGGAGAATTCAGGCAGCTTGGATCTCGGTAGAACCTGAGGTAGACAATAGGTACCTAGCAGTGCACATGCATGGACAGCTAAGATAAGCTTTCAGGCAAATTTCAGATTAAGTAGGTAGGCACCTTAGGAATTAGGGTAGGTAGTCCTGACAACTGCATGATCCAAGTCACTGTCTAGGACTTTAGATTGATCTTATGTTCCTAAATTTCAGTTTCATGATTAGGTAAATGGAATATAATTTGAAAAACACTTCTAAGAAAACCAATTAATTGCTCTTATAATTTTACATGTAGAACAATTAATGATGTAGCATCTCCTATGCTAGGGTAATACAAGATGTAAGTGGTGAACTTTGTGCTTGACAGTGTTCTACTGTGAATTAGATCGAGGCATATTTTCACATATCTTATGAAGTCACTATTCTCGTTTCACCTTCTACCTGAAGACCTGTTAGCTTCTCTAGTCATTTTGTTCTTGATGTGTAATGCTGACTTATGTTTGTAACTTGCAGTCAAACACTCATGATAGCCTGTGTGAGCCCTTCAGATCGAGATTTCATGGAAACCTTGAACACCTTAAAATATGCCAATCGGGCACGGAACATCAAGAACAAGGTGATGGTAAATCAGGATAGGGCTAGTCAACAAATAAATGCTTTGCGCAGTGAGATTACACGGCTGCAGATGGAACTCATGGAATACAAAACAGTAAGTTGATCCTCTTAGGACTTCTGCTTCAAAATGCTTATAGTTCTACAGCTTGTTTTTCTGTTGGCTACTACAACTTCATACGCTAAAAAAATTTTAGTAGCAACCCTCACTTAAACAACACTTCTAATTCCAGTGATTACCAAATGTTTTTAGCAAACTTAGGTTACATCCCCAGAGGAAACTTTTGAGAACCCTGTAGCTGGTGTCTACTACAGGCCACCCAATCAAGGTGAGCCTATTGACAAAGCTGCCTTAATCCAGCTACAGCAGGCTTCGTGCTCACAGGCTTTCATCCTGCTGGGAGATTTCAACCACCCCGACATCTGCTGGAAAAGTAGCACGGCAAGCTGTAGGCAGTCCAGGATACTGGCGGAGTGTATGGAGGATAACTGCTTAAGCCAGGTAATACAGCCCTACCAGAGGGCATGCGACACTGGACCTGTTGGTCACCAACGCAAGTGAGCTAACTGGTGACATAAAGATTGGAGGCAGCCCGGGCTGCAGTGATCACGCGCTGGTGGAGTTTGGAGTGATGAGGGATATGGGTCAGGTGAAGAGTAAAAGTCAGGACATGTAATTTTAGGAAAGCAAACTTCCTGCTCTTCAAGGAGTTAGTAAGTAGGACCCCCTGGGAAACTGGCCTCAGGGACAAGGGAGCAGAACAGAGCTGGCGTATCTTTAAGGATGTTTTCCATAGAGCATGAGCTCTTGATCCCGAAGTGTAAGAGAACAGGAAGGTAAGAGACCAGCATGGCTGAGTTGAGACCTGCTAGTCAAACTAAAGGGCTTGTTCAGCCTGAAGAAGAGAAGGCTGCGAGGGGACCTTATAAATGCCTATGCCCAGGGAGGTTGTGGAGTTTCCTTCTCTGGAGATATTCAAGACCCGCCTGGACAAGGTCCTGTGCAGCTTGCTGTAGGTGACCCTGCTTCGGCAGAGGGGGTGGACTAGATGACCCACAGAGGTCCCTTCCAACCCCTACTATTCTGTGATATTCTGTGATATTCTGTGATTCGAGACAGCCAGCATGGCTTCACCAAGGACAAGTCCTGCCTGGCCAACCTGGTGGCCTTCTGTGATTGACTGACTGTATTGGTGAACAAGGGAAGAGCTACAGGTGTCATATCTGGACTTCTGTAAGGCCTTTGACATGGTCCCCCACAACATCCTTCTCTCTAAATTGGAGAGATCTGGATCTGATGGGTGGACTGTTTAGTGGGTTGGATGGTCGCAGCCAAAGGGTAGTGGTCAATGACTCAATGTCCAGATGGAGACCAGTGACGAGTGGAGTCCCTCAGGGGGCCGTACTGGGACCAGTACTGTTTAGTATCTTCATCAATGACATGGACAGTGGGATCGAGTGCACCCTCATCGAGTTTGCAGAAAACACCAAGCTTGGAGTGGTGTGGTTGACATGCCTGAGGGACCAGTTGCCATCCAGAGGGACCTGGACAAGCTTGAGAAGTGGGCCTGTGTGAACCTCATGAGGTTCAACAAGGCCAAGTGCAGGCTCCTGCACCTGGGTCGGAGCAACCCTCCCTATCAATATAGGCTGGGGGATGAAGGGATTGAGCGCAGCCCTGCTGAGAAGGACTTGGGGGGACTAGTGGATGAAAAGACGGGCCAGACACCGCCA